CCTGGTCTCGCTGGATAGATGAAACTGCCCCCGTGGAGATCCCTTCGACAATGGTGGAGACTTGGAGAGGGCGGAGCGGAGCGGTCCGATAGCATTTTGCACCGAACCTCGCGTTGTCCAAGGTTTCGCGGATGGATCACTCTTTGTGGTTGACATCCGCCGCGGTGAGCCATAGATGCTGATCCTTGTTACGGGTACTGAAAGGTTGGACGAAAGGTAGCGAGAAGTTCGGCTTTGACTTTGCAATTGCGACTTGCCGCTATATCGCAGACCGGATCTCTTCGAGCTGTTTTTAACGCAAGGAACATCCACTTCCTCGACCTCGTCCTTCCCACCCTCGAAGACGTAGAGCTCCTCATGTCCTTCCCATAGCTTTGTATCATGGTGCCTAAGATAGGCAGCCAGGCCACCCAAAGTACCGATGAGGAGGCAGACGAGACTGCCCAGAACCAACAATGAAATAAGGATGCCTTTGACAAATCCTATTTCAATAATTCGATAAAACGTTGCCTGAACAAGTTCGAGAAAGGAGAGAGGGCCGGGGTCAGGTTCAATGATTTGAGGGACAGAGGATGTAAGGACTCGGGGGCAAGGAAAAAGAACGAATACAAAGGAAAGACGCAGAGGTATAACGTGTCGCGAAGACATCGTGAATTGGAGGGAGTGTGGACAACCATAGATGTTGGGAACTGAGAGGGAAAAGTATCCTTTTGAGAGGCTGAAGAGTCAGCACGGAAAGGAAATTTTCACGCATTCTTGGGCTGGCAGAAGTTCGAACTGCGGTGAGCATCTGACAGCAGTCGTGTATGGAGCCCTGCGCAAATCCATAGAGGCACGCAGTTGTGGTGTTTGTACACAATTGTTTCTGGCCCCCCTTGTCTGTGCCTTGGGGCTGAAGCTGAGACTCAACCGTATGCACCACGGAATGTGGCGAGTGACGGAGAGGGAATGCGCATGAAATCATGCTTCGGTCGCCCCAAGGGGGGAGGGTATTAATGGTAGTACTAGGAGATACACTTTTATTTCCGGCGGCTCTCATCAATGCGCACGTACTGGGAGGAGGAATTCAGGGGTTAATGCACGCCGAAATCATGGTAGGGATCAAAAGGGATCAAAAGGAGGTTGCTGCACGATGAATGATGGGCGCGGAGTGAAGATTGAGGAGGATGGAGCTGTACCTGAATCCTGTGTTACTTCGGCTGAGCTGCCCTTCATCATTCATCCGCCGTTGCTGCTCAGCTGCGATTCGTCCAGCTTCTCTTCCCAGATCCTGGTCTTCGTCGTTTCCCTCTTCACCTTTCGCATCACTATTTGAATCCAATATTCAATCTTCGGCTCACTTCACAAGGCTTGTTATCCGCCGATATATCTCGTATTCACTCACCGTTACCTTGTCCAAGGCGATTGCAACGCACCTTCCTCGCTCGACGTCGCCCGTGTCCGTACGAGCAGACAATCCCCGTCAGGCGCTTGTCAATACTTCTGTCAAAGGCCTCGACTGCTCCTCGGCGGCAGATCTAGCCCAAGACGCTGTATCTTCGAACCAGAGACTCTCATCCACATAGTAATCTACCGGCGGTCGATCTATAGCGCCTACCGATCGATGTGGTAGCCAATTGACTGAATAATTCCTCCTAACCGCAACGGCAGACAGTCTTGAACTCCTGCGCACCAGCAGCTGCGGACTTGTCGCACTTCGCATCACGCACCCAGCCATTCGTCACGCCTCACGAATCCTTCAAAGCTCCGAGGTCCCCCTGTCTTCACTCTCAAAACGTCCTCCTGAATATCCGAACCGCCTCCCCATGCCCTGAGGTGCAACCGCAGATTTCGCTCTGCCCCCGTGGCCATATGTCGCAATGAAAAGGTGGAACCATTAAGGCTCTTTCAATGTTATAAATCCGTTCTCGGATGGGGAGGACCATCGAATACACCATTATGGGGCCGGCCAGAGATTCCCCGGGTCAATCTCCTCCTTCAGCCTCCAGGTCGCTACCCTTTCGCAATGGATCCAGAGCCGGCTCGACCAACCTCAGAACCCTTTACCGCATCTCAGCACAGGATGTTGCTGACCACCAGCCGGAAGAACACTCGTACCACTCTGTGTCTACGGTCTTACCTACCTCACCAAACCTCCCTCCTACACCCCCTGGCGCAAATAATGAAACCAGCCCATCGGCTGCAGAAGAGGCGACTTCATCTTCAGATGCGGCTGTGTTTAGATCCAGCTTGGTGACGCCCATAAACCAGAACAGCCCGCCGACCCCTGACAACACTCCTCCTCGGGAACGTTACGGGGCACTTCCCCGGCGCCCATTGCTAGACCCACAACCATCCATAGCCTCAACGCATGCAGAATCCTTCAAGACCGCTAATGAAGACTTCACGTCAGAAGGAGAATCTGATCGTTATACGCCACGCCCGGATAATGGCTTCAGATGGCCATTGAGTTCCATTGACAGGTTTGGAGCAGCTTCCCATCGTCTGCGACACAGCTCTTTTCCTAGATCACCTCTGGCCGAGCTTTACGGAGTACACCCTGCTGTCAGTCAGTCTCCAGAACCTTTAGTCGATCATTCGCACGTGAATCCCAGTAAGACCCATGGGATGCCAGAGGCGTACCCTCAGAATCAGACATCGGGATCGAGTGGCGACGCACTTTTCGACAGCGAGGAAATCCGCATACATCTTGACCCCCCTCAATTGTCTCTAGCTGAGGAAACCGAATCAACTCATCTTGTTCGGCACAGCACTGGCCAGTCCGATTTGAAACGGGGCAAGAGTTTACGCGAAAGGCTTTTGGAGGCGCAGAGCCAGGATCCATCGGCATCGACTGAGAAGTTTGCAAACATCATCGGGTGGAACAATTCCGTGCCAATCGATGATGAAGCCGGAGATCGACAAGTGGAAGTCGATGACAATCGACGTTTTTCGGGAATCTCTACAACTTCGACTGTGGAAGCATACGTCTTCGAACAAAACTCTTTGCCGCGACGAAAAACGACGTTGCGCCATGTCAGCAAGCACCAATCCCTTCGTTCTGTGAGCTCACCCTTGCCAGCGTCGAACAGGAACTCCATGAATTCCGCTTCAGACTCACCTCATCGTCTTGTTCACAAAAAGGCGAGACTGAGCAATCAAAATCGCTGGAGTTTTGGATCTGAAGTATCGAGATCTTACAGCCTGGCATCAAGCGCGGTGCTCCCCAAGACTGAAGTGATTCGCGTGGCGGTGATTCCGGAGAGAAGCTCCTCCTTGAGCTCATCTGCTCACACTAGTCAGCGGCAATCGCTTTCGAACAGTTCTGGACCTTCTCAATTTCGCAAGACGTCCGACAACCCACCCTCTTCCTGGCAACACAAAAGGGCGTTTTCTGAGTCTTCTGACCGTGGTAGGGAAAAACACCAAGTCCCTCTGATACCTCCTCGTAGCTCCTCGCTGTCAGCACCTACATCCAGAAGCACGTCACGAGCCAACTCTATCACTTCAGAGCATCTGCATGTACGCAGACAACAAGCCGAGAAGGACTTACGCAAGACCTTGGACAGGATGGAATCGGAACGACTTGTCAATAGCCTGAGAGACTGGGAGGTTATAGATGGAAATCAGCGACTCGACAGATCTTCGGGGACTTCTAAGCCGCAATCCTCCACGCTTCCGAGCAATCTGAAAGGTGTTTCTGCTGGCGAAGGTGAGGCAATATCAAACCCGCTAGGTTTGGTGATCCCCGGAACAAAGGAATGGGCGGCACTCCGACCACCATCTATCTTCGACACACCCTTCTCACAACCTTCTTTCCAGTCAGGATCTCCTGAGATCAATGAAGCACGGGCGATCAACTACTTCCCCCACAATAACTATTCTGTGCAGCTCATTGAACCATTTCCTGTAGCGGAGTCAAAAGCGGTCCAGGAAGTACAGAAGCAAAAACTTCCAGAAATCGAAGTAGAGTCACCGTTGCGCAACCCTCGACAGCCGCCTGAGCCACCACAATTCAAGCTGATTCCACCCACTCCTGCTGATGAGGAAGTCAAGAAGCAGTTGGGGGAAGACAGAATCGATACTGTTCAACGGCCTGGCGGTTCTCGACGACGGTCCGAATCATTGATGAGCTCCATTTCACGCAATTTGAGCCTTAAAAACGCGCGCAATCGCAAGGCTGATCAGGATCTCGACGGAAATCTGCATCCATTCTGGCGGCCTCGCGCCTTTTGGGACGACGTCGATAATGCTCGCCCTGAATCGCAACCTCAGGAACGGTCTCTGGATCGTGAAATCGTGAACAATTCTCTTGGATTGCCTCAGGAGAGGACGGTCATAATGGGTCCAGTATCCCTGATCCGACGAATATCGCAGCGACGCAAGCAGAAGAGAGGGATTGTGAAACAATCCAGCCATTCCAGTCTCGCTAGATTGCAAGCGAGCCGTAAACTACACAAGTTGTCTGGCTCGGCACTGCGGTTGCAAATCTCCTTGGTAGGGATTAAAAATATTCAAGAAAGGCTGTTGAATGCCAAACAACGTAAAGAGGACGAGAAGAGAGAACGGCGGCGGGCCGACCTTCGACGCAGTATTGGGGCTTACGTGATTTCACAAGGAGACTCGAGATTCCCAGCCAGCAATACGAGCCTTTCCCGGGATGTCTGAGACGTTTTCCAAACAGAATGCTGTTCTCACACCGTCGGCAGTGGAGCTGGTTTTCCTGCGTCTGGATCGTGTTGATGGACAAGTATGTGGTCGTCATTTCATGTTTGCACGATATCATGTTCGACTGTGCTATTTGGGCCCTGGTGGCTATGGATTTTTTTTTTTTCGTTTGGGCGTTTTGGGAGGATCTTTCCACTGCGCGTCGATTTCTTGCTCGATCGGAGACACTGAAGATTTATGGCACGAACTTGATGTCTTGACGACTGATGATTGGGATGAATTGACGAGCTGTACAACTAGAAAGCACGGCCGAACCAGATGGATGACGATTTAGCAATTGATTTCTATATGATTCATCTCGCCGTCGTATTGTGCCCAACACCAACACCCTTCGTCTCGTTCTCCATCTGCTGCTTCTTCCTGAGATTCTCAAGCACAACTGAATCAAGGAATGGTTCAGAGGTTATGCTGGAGTCGAAAACGGTTACTGTGAGCCGTCTTGTTAGCCATACATCATTCGCTGATTAAATGGCTCATAAGATCCATACCGCGCTGGTTTTGGGTCTGTGGTTGGGCGAAGTAGATGGTCGTTCTGGAAGCCGGCACTTTAGGACATTGCTGTGATTTCTCCAATGGACCCTTTAACAGCTCTCTCTTCTTCTTCTCATCACCCGCCATTGGACTTCTGGGGCGATTCTCTCCTCTGAGATTGTGATGAAAAGGTGCTGATGGTGTTTTCGGCACGGAAGATCTGGGAATGGTGGCCAATAATAGTCGTCCACCCGCCTCTTTTCCATGATTATTGCAATTTGCCTGCGCCTCCAACTCTAAAACTATCTGCGCAGCTGCGTGCCAACCGCTACGGCTCACCCAGACATCCATCTTATCTTATCTCTTAGCAAAGTTGATTGCGATATCGGATGGCGACCGCAGCGTGGACAATACCAATCCAAACCCTCATCGGCCTGGAAATTGGCGACGATTTCAACCTGGCTGCTACATCTGCCGCGAGCCCGGGCGATGGCCCTGGTACGGCCTATACCAGTCCGACTCAGAGCCACAAGAGAAATGCCTCCATTGCGGGCTTCGACAGCTCCCCCGCGAGCCTTGAGTCACCAGATCACAATGGTGACGAACACATGCGTGATGGCAGGCGGAGGCCGGTGAAAAGAGCTTGCAATGAGTGTCGGCAGCAGAAGGTGAGCCTTGATGCAATGGATTGCGTGCGCGCTACGAAGGGTTGTTGCAGGACACCACCTCAGGCCTGAAGTGGTGCGACCGACTTTTCCGCTGCCCCTCGTGGACTGTGCGCCGAATCACTGTCGTGGTTGCGCCGAGCCCTCACGATCTCTTCTCCAGTCCATGGAGCCTCTGTGCTAACAGCGTTTCTCTGCAGCTGCGATGCGATGTCATTCAGGAACCTTTCCAGACGTGTACCCGTTGTAAGCGACTCAATCTCGACTGCAAAATCGAGGACAATTTCAAGAGGATTGGCAAGAGATCACGAAATGCAGAAATGGAACGCGAGATCATCGAGCTGCGCAAGCAGGTAGCTGCACAAAAGCATACCGCAGGTGTGGCAAACGGTTCGCACACAAATGGAGGTGCCAATCTGCAGGTATCACCCTCAGCAGACGGGACCTTCACTTCAGATGCTGCCGCCGCAGGGTTACTTGACTTGAGAGGTGGTGGTTCAGGCAGACCCATCTTCACACGGTTGGAAGAGGTGTCCTTGACCATTGACCGGGCGCAGGAGCTCTTTCAACGTTTCTTCACGTTTCATCACCCTTTTCTTCCCTTTCTCAACCCCGATAGAACCCCCGAAGAATACTACGCTCGATCACCTTTGCTGTTTTGGACAATTATTTCAGTGGGTGCACGGCACTACACCCCAGAGCCAGACCTTTATGGCTCCCTGACTGGACCGGTGATGCGGCTTGTCTGGTCGTTTATCTCAGATGTACCTCAAAACTATAATATTGTTAAGGCCCTCATCTTGCTCTGTGCTTGGCCTCTGCCCACCAGCAGCACCTCGACAGACCCAACCTTCATGCTCTGTGGAATGATGATGCAGATTGCCTTACAGATCGGTCTACATCGTCCAACGCATGCTCAAGACTTCTCCAAATTTCGGGTGGAACTTCGAGAAGTGGAACTACAAGATCGAGTGGTGGTTTGGAGTGTGTGCAACATTGTCGCTCAGAGAATATGTACGGCATATGGGCAGCCACCTCTCAGTATTTACGATTGGACTCTTGGACCTAAACCGATTGAGACCAACCCAAACTACGAACTGCCAGCTCCCATCTTCAATCGGTTGCTGATCGAAAAATTTGTGGACAAGGTCTCCAGGACGCTTTACATGAATCCCCACGATCCCGTTGGGCTTGCCACTGATACGGAGCGCCCTACCTACGTTTCGTTTCTCGCACATGAGCTGGAGGAACTTGAGGACAGGTTACGGAAGGATACGTCACCAATAACCAAGGTATACCTCAAGGCTGCCGCTCTGCATATGAGATTGAGTGCCTTTTTCTCACCGTCCTCGCTGCCTTCATACCGGACCGACATGTTAAAGCTATACTATGCCACGACTGAGTTCCTTGAGACGTGTCTCAGCCTAGAGTCCAACGTCAGTGTGAACCTACCTTCAAGCTACTCACACGGCTTATCGCTGTCGCATGCAACGAACTACATATTCCACATGATGCTCGGCGCTGGCTTTTCCCTTCTCAAACTCATGCACAACTTTCTGGGCGAACACGAACTCGATACCAAAGGAGCATCTGAACTCCTCTCGAGAACGGTGTGGGCGCTACGAAATATGAGTGTGGTGGAGAACGATCTTGCAGAGCGCCTGTCGGAGGTTTTGGCCCAAGTCTGGAAAAGTGGAAGAGTTCGCGCAGAGCCGAATCGCAACAACATTGGCGAGGGCGGCCCCGACGACAGTCTGCAACTCAAGGTCAAGTGTCGAATGTCCATGTCTGTGGTGTTTGATTCGGTGTGGCAGTGGCGGCAGAACTTTCATTTCCGAGGGGGAAAACCTTCTGATGGTACGGGTAACCCTAGTTCGTTCGAGGGTGATGCTGACCGAGCGGCAGTGAGGCAGCGAAATCCCACCCTCGAGCAAACCGACAATCAGATCATCATACCGGCATCAACTTTGGACTCGAAGCCTACGGTAAACGACCCCATGTTGGCGAACTCCACCATTGTGCCTGGTATGGCTGGGATGGCTACTGGAATGGTCGACGACGCCGGGATGGACTTTGGCGAGGCAAGCTACGATGTCTTTGATCCGTTAAACTGGATGCTGGACGGGATAGTGGATTTTCCCTATAATTTCAACAGCGTGCAGGGGAGTGATCTGACGGGCGGGGATGCACTTGGTGGAGGAATGTAATATTCGACGATTGGGGGCGCTGGTTGGTCCTTGCGGTCACTGTCGAATGGGGGGTTTGACGTCTTCTATTTTTGACATAGATATCCCAGATGGTTTACGCAAGATTGATTGTCTAATGTGAAATTAGAGTCCAGAGTGCTATACAGGTTGACAGAGGTAGGCGTGAAACACCACACGGAAGTTGCCATTATTGTACGAAGTACGGAGTACAAGAGCGTTATTGTACTCGTACACGACGTTGTGCGGATTGATCTATTGGATCTCTACTCGGTACTGCCACATGGCCGCTCCCTTCACCTTAGCCCTACAATTTCACCCTGGTTTCGTCCCCTTCATTGACACTGCTAGGGCTTCCTCGCCTGAATTTACGTCAACTTCACGGGGCACCATCACCAGCGCCACGAGCCGACGATTCAGCTAGCACAGAAAAAGGATCAGAGAAGCAGTCGATGCGCTCTGGACTCAGATCAGCCCGGCCTCCGGCGATCAGCCTGACCAATATGCATTGCTGAGGGACAGTTCATTGGCCAGAGACAAGAGCAGCCACAGTTGCTTATCTCTGTCTCCAAGCAACGGGCCAAGCGTCAAGCTGCACGCTTATTGCCCTCTTTCCAGAAGCAGTGAAGCTGCCCTCGATCTACCCCTTCAAACTTCCCCACGCACCGTGAGGTCCTCGATATGGACAATACAGCCGGTGGCCCCAAGGTGAAGGCGATCTCCGGTCTTCCACGCGAGTCAGAGAACGGCTCTGAGCGCGGGAAACGTCTCCTCTATCTCTCGACAGGCATTGAAAAGAGCAGGGATGCAGAAGAACAAATTCAGAGGCAGCTGGTTTCGAGAATGACTTGGCGGACATATTGTCAGACCGATCCATGGCCAGACCGCAGGCCATCGGGCTCGACCGCATTGGTCGAAGTAGACCCCATGTCGGTGCGAAGGCGGACAGCTCCAGAGTCCAAGGCTCTTATCTCGAAGATCGCACAACACAGTGGGGCACCAAAGATGGAAGGATGTTGATGGTGTCCCCGACTCCCAGAGTGACGGCGCCCTCCATCTGAACCAGTTGTGGCAACTGCCGATATGAAATGCTATATTACTTCACGTTCCTCTGGCCTTCTTCAGGCTCAGATGCTTCGAATCTCCCTGCTTCGTCTTGTCGGCCCTTAAGCTTCCTTGTCTTCGCTTCTTCTACGGGCTTACGTCTTGTCCACAAGCGATCCGCGGGAGTTTGGCTCTAGCGCAATGGCTTCCTACGAAAAGAACGGCTACGATGTCGAATACCAATATCCTGTCTCCACGGGCGAGAAACACCACTCGGTCGTGCCTCCAGATACCTCAGGCGCCGTCCATGGCGAGTCATTCGTCGTTGGAGATTCCACCTATGCAAAACTACAACGTCTTGCAGGACGGTTCCATATTGAACAGCGAGGTATTGAACGAGTCCCTGAGGATGAACGGACGGACAAGAGTACATTTAAGGTCGGCACCATGGTATGTCTAGTTGTCCCCCCTGCTCCCCGAAACTGTGTTTGTCACAGAGTCTTGTATCTGACGTGAAAATAGTGGCTCGCTGCCAACATGGTCGTCTCTTCCTTCGCCATTGGTGTCCTTGCTGTGCCCGTTTTCGCACTGGGCTTTGTCGACTCGGTGCTTACAATTTTCTTCATCAACTTGCTGGGTATTATCCCAGTATGCTTTTTCTCCACCTTTGGCCCTCGATTCGGTATGCGCCAGATGATCCTCGGGCGATTCTGGTTCGGGTATTACGGCGTCAAGATTATTTCGATCTTCAATTGTTTGGCATGTCTTGGTTGGTCTTCTGTCAATGTCATAGTGGGCGCCCAGTTCCTCCGAGCAGTCAACGACGACGTACCCGCCGCAGCTGCCATTATTGTTTTGGCCGCAGGAACCTTTATCATCACCTTGTTCGGCTACAAGATCGTGCACATCTACGAGATGGTGTCCTGGATACCTTCCTTTATTATTCTCCTCATCACGCTGGGCGTGTTTGCCCATCGGGGAGACTTTGTCAACATTCCAATGGGTAGTGGCGAAGGCGAAGCAGGCTCGGTCTTGTCCTTTGCTGCTTCGATTTTCGGATTTGCCACGGGCTGGGCTTCCTACGCCAGCGATTACACATGCTATCAACCTGTCAGCACTCCGCGGACCAAGGTCTTCTTCTATGTATTCTGTGGACTTATGTTCCCTTTGTGTTTCACTCAGATGCTGGGCGTGGCCATTGCGACGGCCATCCCCTCCCACCAGGCGTATTCGG